AAGTCACTGTAATAGTTCCCGAACAGAGTGTTCTCGTTTCATTAGATCACCCATGGCACCTTGTATGCTTTATGTACATGTTATCAATTTGATGCAATGTATGAAAAAAAAATAAAAAAAATAAGGAAGTTAAAACCTTAAGGACCCCCGTAACATTGCCGAAAACTGTAGCGAAGTGTTGGGAACATTTTTCCCGGTATGACTATAATTATGCTATACTCTGATAAATCATTTCTGAAAAGAAAACCATACCTTAAGGGGTTTCTTTCATGAAAACAAAATAAAGTTAAAATAAACAAAATATGATCAACAATAGTGTCCTGAGAGTAAAATCATAATGTGGTGGGAAACACCGGGATTCGAACACTGGACTACAGATTGACTAGGTATTGCTCTAACCGAATGCTCTATCTGCTCGACATCAGTGTCTTCGTCCAATTGTGTTGCAGTTATATCCAAACGGATGATTACGGGCGGTTTTTGATTTATTTTATTGTAATTTATATACAATGGGAGTTGGGCACAAGTTTTACAACTTATACTAAGCCCTTTCCCTACAATATATTACTACAAATTATCAAGATGGCATATAACGGGAGGTTACTTCATATAGGGAAAACACAGTGCACTGAAACAGACATGATAAAGCGTTATTCTGGATCGATATCAAAAACAGCCAGTTTTAATGTGGCATCTATTTACTGAAATTTTCATGGGAATTGAAACTGTTAGATTTCTTTTCAAAAGGGAGACAACGACATATTGTTACTGTTTGAAAAAATGGATGGATTAAATATCCACATTATTTTTATGTGTACCTGTCCTGTGTCATTGTTTGCCCACCGTATGTACACTTCTCATCAATCATACTTGCTACACATGTGGTATTTGCATACTCCAAACTTCTTTTGTCATTATATGAAAATCCTTTAAAAAGTACCAGGGGAATAAAGCTGGATGATCCTGAAGAATGTGCGTTCTTGCTGTGTCGAGATCATGTTGGCAATCAGAAACCTTTCTATAGTCTTCACTGCATCCCCCAAAACAACGTGTTGTTAGTTTGTCAGGCAGTGACATCAATCACATGTAGTATTCGGAGCAACATCTTGAATATTCAGGCAAATACCAGGTCTTCTGTATCTTTCATCATTTTGTCTCCCACCCTTCACAGGTGTGTCTCCCGTTTTAGCAGGGAAAGATCACATTGTCACCCCATAGGGGGAGATAGCCTCGTGCCGATTAGCACGTGTTCAATTGTGAAAATGTGTCACCGGTAATTGTGACGTAATCAAAAGTGAATGACGATATTCATACCCCATATGTGTTTTTGTTTACAAACATGGCAGACTACTGTCGGTGGAGGTGTGACTGAAATAATAGGATGGGGAAAAATAATCATCCTCTACCTTGAGGGCGTAACAGAGAAATTTCCAACCCTCGGGTTAGACAACCAAAAAACATCACCCCTCGGGTAGGAGATTTCTCTGTCAGACCCTCAAGGTAGGGGAAGATTCTATTAATCCAATTCAGCGGCGCTCCCTGCAAAATCGGAAGGTTTCTTTTCCTATTTTACTGACGGGATATCTATATTGCTAGTTTGTGTGTACTGACGGTAGAATTTTTTGTATTATAATTATTTTACGTTCGGGTCGACTGAATATGCCGAAAGAAACTATACCAAATTCTGTAAGTTGTCTGCCTTTGATCATTTCAATTTGTACTAATTGTCAGGTTCGTTAGTTATAGATATATTACGTAAGTTATCACAATTGAATGACATTGTTATCTGTAGGTCGATAAGCTCTCATATGTGTGAAACATTTTCGGTTACTATATTTTATATACCGGTACGATTTATAAAAACACTACTAGTGTAAGTAAACTTAATCATCTGATTGATTTGACGTGAATCATTTTTTATTTTAGGGAATAATTGAAGTTTAACACATCTTTAACTGGTGAATATTCAAATACTCTGGTTCTTACTGCTATTTTGATGTAAAGTTAACTACTTCGTGCTATGTATTCATCTTTGTGCTATGTATTCATCTTCGTGCTATGTATACATCTTCGTGCTATGTATACATCTTCGTGCTATGTATACATCTTCGTGGTATGTATTCATCTTCGTGCTACAGTGTATGTATTCATCTTCGTGCTATGTATTCATCTTTGTGCTATGTATTCATCTTCGTGGTATGTATTCATCTTCGTGGTATGTATTCATCTTCGTGGTGTGTATTCATCTTTGTGCTATGTATTCATCTTCGTGCTATGTATTCATCTTTGTGCTACCGTGTATGTATTCATCTTCGTGCTATGTATTCATCTTCGTGCTATGTATACATCTTTATGCTATGTATACATCTTTATGCTATGTATTCATCTTCGTGCTATGTATACATCTTTGTGCTATGTATTCATCTTTGTGCTATGTATTCATCTTTGTGCTATGTATTCATCTTCGTGCTATGTATACATCTTCGTGCTATGTATTCATCTTCGTGCTATGTATTCATCTTCGTGGTATGTATTCATCTTCGTGGTATGTATTCATCTTCGTGCTATGTATTCATCTTCGTGCTATGTATAGGACATTACCATTTTATTTCACTCTCGAACTCATTAGATCAAAGCTAGCGAAAAGTAAACAAATTGAATGAGTACCTTTAGTGACCCCCAGACATTCCCTAGTCAAATTGAAGCAACTGAACGAGTAGAGGTTAATAAGCGGGAACACTTATACTGAAGGTGTACTACATATACTGAATAGCTAGGCGTGTGTGTGTAAGAAGTTGCAGTGACCGTATTTGTTGTTGCACTTTTCGCATAACATTAAATGTTAATGACCAATGGTTCAATAAAATATGCCAATTACAGTTAAAACATGACCAAACATATATTCATATTTTCAGAGGTTGGACATATTCTCCTTATAAATGTCACTGGTACATTTTATACAATGATTTAAATCTACCTTGGGTTAGTATTGTTGGATCAGTAAATAGTGTAAACGTCGATCCTGTTAGTTGGATCTAGTGTTCGATTAAATTTATTACTCCGGTAAATGGATATCAAAAGCTGAACAAACCAAATATCTCACTCTGGTAAACACACAAGAATCAAGAATCACGGAGACCTGCTTCGCATGGGGCTCTGGACGTGGCATTAACCTATGGAATTATATTTGATGATGTCGACTGCTGACGGACAGACTTATAACACAGGGTTTCCAAAGATGCAGGTCGATGAGGACTGTGGACGGACAGGTTTTAAATCCGATATTTGGATTTTGCAGAGAAATGTGTTTTTTCTCTCTCTGTGATATGAAGGTTGGTATTTTCATAATACTCATTAGACTTCCTTGTGGTCATGTTGTCACTTCCCGAGTCCTCGATGTACGCGTGTGACATGACTTGCATTTGACCTAGATTTACATACCGGATGCCATCGATGGAAAAGCAGACGCTTACCCTTTCAGAATACCTGGTCTTGTTATCCTTGTACATTTTCAATGGTCTACATGTATATCTTTTATTTGTTCCTATTTTGCCCTAGTTTTATCGATTTTGAGTTCGATTTATGGTTTTGTTGACACTTCCGTACTTTCGTTATTTTACTAGTTATTGTACCTGCATATTTAAGTGATGTGTTCAGAAATACACAGAATCAGACACATAATCTTAATTTACACAAATATAAAAGCTATTAGTCAATGTATATGATGGCTGAACAATTGCAAAAGAACCAGCGTAATTCTGAAAATGACAGACAGTTTTCGTTCTCTGTTTTACATTTCCAACGAAAATTAGTCTTTTTTTCACAATTTTCTGACTAACGGAGTGACTGGTCTTTATAATTTAGCAATGTTTTTAGGAAAGAAATGTGTCTATTAAAGTTTATAGAATCATCTGCCATTGCAAATCAATCATTATACCTTTTGATGGTACAGGCGGTAACGACCAAGCTACCTATGAATCTAATACTCCTTTTACAATAACATTCGGTATTATTTCAAAACGTTCGAACTGCCTTAAAAAGCTAACATACTATTTTTGTTTTTGGAATGACAGCAAAATTATTGTAAAAGTATAGAAAAACAGTTGAACTTCCTGCCATAGTGTATACAAACGTTAACAAAATGCTTGATTGCTTTTATCATTTTTATCCTAAAATAAAACCCACCATATCAACCCCCTGTTATTGCTAAAAATCAATCATGGACATACAAAGTAATTAGAGAACGCAATTAGAAAAAAAACCAGGCATTATCTACAGCAACATCACGATTTCTATATCTTTATCAAACACAGCTCTTTTAACAATACAAACACAAGTAATCGATCCTGGTAAATGATGCCATTAGTCAGCATTGACTTTACTAATGATGGTGTTATTACGCTCTCGATTCGATCAAGTGAAATGCTTTTGACCACGCCATACGCTCGCCAATCTCCTGACAAACCAGAACTACATTACTAGATTGGAGCAATATAACACAACACCATAAATTGAACTACTCTGTAAAGATTCGTCATAGTGTTGAGACTCTGTCCTGGTGTAAAGGCGCCTTTCGGATACGTCGTTTGATAGTGTGTACATCGTCAACCTTCAATTTTTCAGGTATGATTGAATTATTTCAAATGAAATTTATAGGCTAATACACATTTTAGTCTTATATGCGTTATATTAATTACTATAGAAAACTAATGTGTATTGTTGAAATCGTAAAGTTAGCAGAATGATTCAGTGGTATACCAACATGCTAGCTCTACACTTTCTTGGAAAGATTACATTTCTTTTAACTAAGCAGATATACTTTGGATGTTGCCAGATGCTAAATTTTTAACTCATGCATTGTCATTTCGTTTTCATATCTTTTACAGCCAATCTACTTAAACAAATATATTCTATGACCGAAAATGACAAGGATTCATGCATTGCTTATCTTCGTAATGTACAGTGACGTCATCATATCAAGTGCACATACACAAGGCACGATGGATGACTTGGTGAGACTGAAGAATACTCTGTTCCAGAACTATACCAAGGACTTTCGTCCTGTTTATAACATGAGTGACCCGATACACGTGACACTCGATATGTTCCTAATCTCTGTTTTAGACCTAGACGAAGTGACCGGAACAATCACCCTTAACTGTGGTCTCGCATTGTTTTGGACTGATTACCGCCTTGCCTGGGACGCAAGCGAATTCGGTATCACCTCTTTCGTGTTTAATTCGTCAAATGTGTGGAAACCACGAATTTACATTACAACATCATCTGACGATTTATCGGATTTCTCTTTCGATGCCTTCGACGTAAGGGTATACTCTAATGGCTCAGTAACATCTTCGCCAGGTCGACATGTAAAGGCTAGTTGCAGCTTCGACATGACCAGATATCCGACTGATTCACAAACGTGTGTCATGCAGATTGCGTCATGGATGTTTGCAGCTTCTGAGATGGTATTCATCATAGCACGTCCAAACATCAGCATGGTTTACTATAAACCTAATGGGGAGTGGAACATCGACTGGACATCAGTCACAAACAACACTGATTTTGGACCTCACTCCTCCATATTAGACTTTTCAATTCACCTTACAAGACGTTCTGCATATTTCATCATATCAATGACTATACCTGTGCAGCTTTTGTGTTTCCTCAACCCGTTCGTGTTCCTCTTGCCCGCCTCCTCAGGAGAGCGGATTTCCTACACAATCACTATGTTCCTGTCCTTGGCCGTATATATGACGATTATCGGAGAAAACATGCCGAACGTTTCCGATCCTATGGCAGGGATTTCCTATTACCTCCTAGTGGCTATGTTATACAGTTGCCTGCTGATCTTATTGACGATATTCACCCTGCGCTGTGAGGCTGTTACTGATATACGCAGGTTCCCTTGCTGGATGTTGAGGATTGCCCCACGGCAAGTATTTCACAAACCAGTCGAAACCATCAGTAAAGGGGATTCTAATAAGAAAGTTATAGATACAGAAAGGATGGAGGATGATAACGCAACAGAGGAAACAATTTGTCGTGACGAAAAAGAGCTATTACAGATTTCTAGGAAAGAAGACTTACTGCGATTTATTGACAAAAGTCTTTTCTTTATAACTCTCTTTGTGATTGTAGTTATAGGTTTCGTGTTTTCGCTATCCTTCTGGGTTTAATTTGAGAAGTTACTGTGTCCGTTTATGCGTTATTTAAATAACGTATACAAAGTTTTAAATGTACGGCTATTCCCTCGCCTCTGTGCTAATAGATTCAAAACAATAATTGAAAAAGACGAAAAATCTATGTCATGGTCATTAGGCAATTTTATATAGCGCATAGTCAGGTGTAGCACATAGTCAAGTGTGATACAAATGTCAAGGTGGCCAAACTTATTAACAGTTTGTCCAGTAAGATTAGTATTTGAAATTATTAATTTTTAATTTTAAATACGATGTAAATTGAGTACATATTAATACTTGCGCTGTGTATCTTGTGTAATGGTATACATGTCTGTGTCGGGTAATGTACCTGTGTTATCATTGTGACGTATGAGAGGTTGGTGCAAGTGCACTTTAACCCTGCATGACCCTGTCCATGCACGTGAAAAGCCTCACATGGGCAGTGCCAAGGTGAGTTAATTCATTCTACACCAACCCTGGGCTTCGAATAGACGCATTTGAATTGCCTGTGTGCGTTACTTCCCCAGTCTTATATTTAATTTAAAATCATATAAAACAAACTATTACTTCAGTTTAACAAATTATTAAATAAAGTACTTTGGTTGTATAATCTGTTGCATTTGAACCATATTGCCGTAACATATCTTAAGCATTAAGTTAAATTAGGGTGCACGTGGTCAGGTTCTATAACATCATGTCACAGGGTTAAAATTAGGGTGTAATAATGTGTATAATTGTCTGAAATAAAATATAATTATATATTATTATATTTATAAGTAATGTCTAAATATTAAATACTTTATGGTATTAAAATATGTGGCTGTTCTGTTTAAGAAAGGCCTTAGTGTGAGACATCTCTCTTCCAGCCATGATGCTGTATACACACACTTTGAGCACATGACTTGGTTTGTCATTGCTGGTGATAAACAATTTAGATTGTGTATCATTTACAGGCCTCCACCATCTAAACAGAATGCTTTCCGAAATACAGTGTTTTTTGATGAATGGTCTACTTTTTTAGACCATCAAGTTGTTGTACCACAAGAGATTATTATCACGGGTGATCTAAATTTCCACTTAGACGATCTGTCTAATGTTGATGCCCGCCAGTTCTCTGGTCTACTAGATTCATTTTGTTTGTTTGTTTGTTTGATTTTGTTTAACGTCCTATTAACAGCTAAGGTCATATTCAAGGGGTCTGATTCAGCATATGACAGAAGCTACACACACCCATGGCCACACACTGGATGTGGTCATAACGAGGGAAGATAACTCAGTCATTCATGGAGCTATTTCAGTGATTGATCCATGTCTAAGTGATGTAAAGGGGAACCAATCTGGTGATCATCTTGCTGTCCACACAACACTGAATTGTAGTAAGCCAGCTCGTGCAAGGAAAGAAGTGAGCTTCCGGAAATTCCGCGAAATTTCAATACCAGATTTCAACAATGACATTCAGTTTTGTTCCGCCCTTCAATCTACTGAAGGCGAGGTTGATGATCTTGTTGAAGCATATACATTTAGTATAGAAGCCCTTATAGAGAAACACGCACCTCTGCAAACTAAGGTGATAACTGTGAGACCAAATGCCCCGTGGTATAATGAAAATCTCCGCGTGGAAAAACAAAAACGTAGACAAGCAGAGAGACAGTTGCGACGGACCAAATTAACCGTTCACCAACTGATTTATAGAGAGCAATGTCGGCTAGTTGGTTCACTGTTCTTTCAGTCAAAGAAGGCTTATTATTCGGAATAATTCGAAGAATGTGGCAAGGATAAAAGACAACGTTTTAGACTCACCAAAAACCTAATGGGACAGAAAGGTGAAATTATCCTACCAAGCTGAAATTCTGAAAAAGACTTAGCAAGCAAGTTCAGTGATTACTTTCTGAATAAAATCAGCTCAATCAGGAAAAATATTACCGAAGTGAACACCTCTGCTGACATTGACATCTTTGTCATGACTGCTGACATTGCATTTGATGGTGAACAATTGACAAAGCTCTCACCAACAACCCAGGACGAGTTGCGCAACATTATCATGACCTCGCAATCGAAGTCCTGTGAGCTTGATCCACTGCCTACAGACCTATTAAAGCAATGTCTAGAAGCACTGCTTCCTTTGATTACCGCAATCATGAACAAATCAATGGTTGAGTCAAAGGTTCCATTATGTTTCAAGAAGGCACATGTCAGACCATTGTTAAAAAAGCATGGAATGGACAAGGAGGAGTTGAAAAACTACCGCCCAGTTTCAAATCTGCCTTTTCTGTCTAAGTTTTTGAAGAAGGTTGTGTCCCGGAGTTTTGAGGTTCATCTCCATGCAAACAGTCTCCATGACAACATGCAATCGGCCTACCGCATGGGACTCTCTACTGAGACGGCCCTCCTACGTGTACATAGTGATAAAGCTTCTGCATTGGCTAACAAGTGCAGAGCGGTGCTTGTCATGCTGGACTTGTTAGCTGCATTTGACGTCATCGACCATGGCATACTTTATAAACGTCTGGAATACTCTTATGGAGTGACTGATACCGTACTATGCTGGATACAGTCATACCTGAGTGAACAACGACAGTGTGTTGCCATCGGATCTGCCAACTCGGAGGACAAAGTACTAGATTTCGGGGTTCCTCAAGGGTCGGTATTAGGACCACGAAAATATTGTATGTACTCCAAACCGATTGGAGAGATTTGTCGTCGCCATAGCCTTCGCTATCATTGCTATGCTGATGACACACAAATTTACATGGTCATAAAACCAAAGGACAGTTGGAATACAGACTCAGAAAGTCTGGAAGCTTGTCTGACAGATATCAGTATCTGGATGAACGCCAAATGCTTAAACTTAATCAGGAAAAGACGGAACTAATCGTTTTTTACCCAAAGTGTCAGCAAACAATGGCTCTCCAGCTCAAGGTTGGTGCCAGAACTATTGAGACTGTTCCAGCTGTTAAAAACCTAGGGGTATACTTTGACAGTTCTCTGAACATGGAGAAACAAGTGAACGCTATTGCCAAATACTGTTACTACCAGATCAGGAACATCGGCTGTATTCGGCAGTTTCTAACTGCAGATGCATGCACGATTTTGGTGCATTCACTTGTTACCTCTCGGCTGGATTATGGTAACGCCCTTCTCTGTGGTATATATGACAAACTAACTAGTCGTCTGCAGAGGGCCCAGAATACTGCAGCACGGCTAGTTACTCGTACTCGATAGAGAGAGCACATCACACCTGCGCTTTATTCGTTGCACTGGTTACATGTACGATACAAGTCGCAGTACAAAATTCTGGTATACACATACAAGGCACTGAATGGAACAGCTCCTCAGTACCTACAGGAGCTTGTTACCCTGTATCAGCCGTCAAGATCACTTCGGTCGGAGTCAGAATCTTTGTTGTGTGTCCCAAAATCTCGTACTGTGACCTACGGAAACAGATGCTTTGGTAGGGTTTCGGTTACGTTGTGAAATAGATTACCATCTGCTATTAGGAAGTCAAATACCCTGGCCACGTTCAAGAGGGACATAAAAACTCACCTCTTTACGTCTGCATTTTAGAATCTTTGCAAAGACGTCATGTAAATACTACCCTTTTATTTGTTCAATTATGTGCACATTGCTTGTTAAATGTATGAAAATGATTGCAAGCCTTTGTTGTTTGCTTTCACAATTATAACCATTACTATTATCCATATGTTGTAAAGCGCCTTAGAGTAATTTTACAAATTATATAGGGCGCTATATAAATGTTGTATATTATCATCATTATTATATGGTAACACGTTTACACGTGTCTGTAAATGTTCACTTAGACATTGTGATTTTATTTCAGGGAACTGTGTCCGTTTACGGGTGTGAATGAGTAATAAATACGCTGTCATCTGTGTATACATATGTCTATGGGTTAATATGTATTCACACCAGAAGAAACCCACACATATACTCGTATGACACATAACAACAGGAAGAGAAGAGGGACACATGTACACCAAAAACGGAAACAAATCAGTTTAGTATTGTTTAACTTCCTATCAACAGATATGGCTATTTAAGGACGGCCTCCCCTGTGTGACATCATGTGCCACTACTGACGCCTAGTATAATGTATCATGAAGACTGGAAAGTATTTAGTTAATAAATATATACACATTGAAGACTCGTAAGAATGCCGGTTCCTCTGCCAAAGACGGTTGAATTTGAAATTGTTTTACTGACGTGACTCTTGTTGAAATTTCATATTAAGACTTTTGAGATTAAAGAAATGTCACTGGTGTAAAAGATCATACTCTGTGGCAATCAGTTGTATGGCAGATGTGACGATAATAATGCATGTGGATATTTATTTTACAACAAAGTAAAAAATATGGGAACTCATAACACAAACCAGGAATACTTAGCATTTTATTCAAATCATAAAAATACCTTAAAAGGAAATATTTATAGCAGATCTTCGGATCAAAATTCAAGTTAAAATGTACATATATAAAAATTCAGAGCAAAGTTTCCGGTATATTTTGTTACTGGTGTACTATGTTTTATACTTTCTAAATTACTCTGTGGCTATTTATTATTATCATCATGCAATTGGTTTTCCGAATAAGTGACAAATTAAAAAGTATGATAAAACACATTTAATCAATAAATATGCTTTTTCATATGATTTACTTCGTTTCTGAAATTTACTAACTGATATATACAATCATGTTGTTGTTATGTGGTTTGCTTTTCGAAGTCAAGATTTTACGCAACTTATATATAACGAAGCAATAAGAAGAAAGCATACGGGCGTAGACAAATAGAGGATTAAGGCATGGATGCCAATTTGGGCCTTCTCAACCTACATTGAACAATAATCTTGCCAAAATAAGTTTACTAGGTGTATGACAGGGAGTAGTAATACATCCGTCATTATAGCCTAACCAGGATTCTCCCTGGATCTTTAAAGGTGATGATTTGTTTTATATCAATGGATGTACATCTATTTATTTAAAAACATTTCTATTGTTCTGAAGATCTATCTTAATTTGCTCAAATAACCGACAGGTTAAAACAGTCAGGTAGCAAGGTACACTTGTTCGTCCACACCTTTCTTCTTATTCTGGTCTATATATCTGAGTATCTGTAGCATGCACACAGCCGCTCAATTCGAAATAAATGTTAGTTGGTCTGATTATCGTAGGGTTCTGTATTTAAGGACAAAATAGAAAGAGTCGTTGACATAATTAAGCCGATTTATAACAGGGTAATAATGACGTACTCTTCAACAATTATATTATTATCAAAACTCCAAATTATTTGTCCTTTTAATTCATGCTTTTGATTGGTCAAAAGTTAGGCATAAGGGGTAGTTTGGGATGACAGATTTCCATTGTCCTTTCAAACACAATGACAACCACAGCTTGCGTTTATATGATTTTGCAAGTTTTTGGTATGCAGACTGTATTATGTCACTTCAAACCCTATCACGGCTTTTTATTTAAAAATGGGAAAAAGGCCACAGAAAGTTGATGTCGAATCATTGTACGATTTTGTTCGAATTTTGTTTGTAGGTAAATCAAGCTCCCCTTCTGATGCACTCTTTTTGAATATAGGAATGTTCGGAGAACTGGTCAAAGCAAAAACAAAATACAACAAGAAGTCAGTTATTAAGTTTCACTAGCCTACAGACAGAAATAAGTTACATTAAATGTGTCCACACACGGAGAAGAGTGCTTGAGAACAATTCACACTAGCCAGGCCTGTTGTTGTCAACATCACACAGTGACCTTGAATCGGGTCAGGGTTGCCTGGAGACCAGAGGGCGCTGTCAATCACTCCAAAGCCATCACTATACTGCCACTCATTTAAAACATACCTTCCGGACACGTACATCTGATTGTGGGCGTTCCCTGAAAATTACAAAATATCTATCTGGTAAAGAGTAACGAAGTATTGTATTTTCGATAGGTATTATTGAGTACAACGTCTAAGTATATTATTTTTGTAACTTGTAAGGTTTTAATGATTAGTTAAAGTATAAAATATAATTGTTGCCAACATAACTTCTTGAGAATCACCACAAATACAGTGGATTATATTTGTTTTACATATTTGTATACAATCTTTATAGATACACCTGTTTCACTATGTTGCTTTTGGCTTATAAAAAACATCACTACAACTTTTCAATTTACATTATACATGTATCCGGAGTGCATGGCAAAATCAAATTCAGTAACGGAAACTTATTAAGGATTTTTAATGTCATTGGTCTGCCCCTTTTCAAAGACTCTAATATACATTTGTAAGCTTTATTTGTCACAAACAACTTTAAGAAAAAACTAGTGTCTTTTCCACATTTACTTTATAAAAAAAAAATCTGCTGATATTAGTTATTTCGTAACGTATGGATATAACATCGTGTTTCACGTAATGTTTATACAGTGATAATTGGAAGATATTCCTTTGACCTGATATCGAAATTTAAACTCATGAATGTCATCTGACCACAGGTTCATGTCGTATCCAAACAGATTTCAGTAATGATGTAATCTGTTAGTAAATAATGGAGTCATTGAATTTTAGACACACTCTGCAGTGGCAAGCCCTATTCCGATGTCAAGTATTTGTTTTTTCATTTCCCTACTTAGTATATCGTTTCCCTCCACGACTGCCTTAAGACTCGCCATCAATGACAAGGAATCTATCTTGATGAGCTGTGAATATTGTTGGGTACAGAGCCTGGCAGCGTCCAACTGGTTATGATCACGTTCGTTCACCTTGTACAGTGTGTCGTCGTTCAGGACTGGTTTGAATCCTAAAGCTTTGTGTATGTCTTCAATAAAGTAAATAATACATAGAATGTTAATCATTTTGTTGAATTCCAATAAGCAACATGGATTCTAAATATGACTTTGTCACTAGCTTTCTATATCGATACAGATTTAAATCTTCCAAAACTGATACGTTCTTAGTTGTTCCATTCATCAAAAACAAATCACAATGCAAACAAATGACAGCAAATACTTCGTGAACACCGTCATGATATCTAAAACACTTGAAAGTAAAAACTACATATGTAGAACCAACAGTGGCTCTTAGGCCTTTAATTGGATCAACAGGAAGTCGAGCAAAGGGTAAGCGACTCCAAAGTATACAAACAATTGTGGTGATTGAACGATGAAATATGTAAATAAAACCATGTTTCAACATTTTGCAGCTGGAAATTAGATCTTTATTATTTATGTTTGTTAAACATTCATGAAGTGTCTTACGTTTACGTGTTTCCCTAACGGTGTAACAGCCACTGACGTCAAAACGGAGAGATATATGATTGTTCCAACTCCTTGGAATAATCCGGAGGTACACTGCAGTGATACTTGGGACAACGCTAGCCTTAACTATGGTGGTCTGGTCATTGTTTCCGGTAAATAACTGAAAAATGATAAATAGTCAAAACGTTCTTTTGTTTGTTATATTTACAAAAATAATACGTTTTATCCAAGTAAAGTAAAATATATAAAAAATACATAGTAAATAAATACCTATTAAAAATAAAGTTTGTCGAAGCATAAAGTCTTTGGGAAATAAATGCCGAGCAAAAAACATATTATATCTTACAGGATCCGAAACATATGCAGAAAATCGCGATAATAGTAAAAACTTTCTCCCCTTTTTCACAAATAATTCCTTTTTAAACTAGTATTTCATGTAAACCGTACTACAAATAAATGTTAGTTAAAAGGATAAAGCAAATCTTTCGGGCTTGGCCAATCACCTTGTACCTTAAAAAAAAAAAAAAAACGGTGTTAGAGAACACCAAGATGTGTCCGTATAATCGATTTTAGTTTGAGCTATCTGCCACGTCAGTAAAAGAAACGTATGCTATTGCTTTTTGATATCTTCGTCAAATATCGAATGCATTATTATCCGATATAACCTACCCTAGGTTCTTGGTTGTCCGACATCACTGTAGTCCAAGTAGTATCATCCATGCTATAAGATAGGTGATAGGTTTCAACCCACTGGTTACATATGCACTTTCGACCTTGCAACAAGATTGTTTCTACTTCCGTTTCTCTTGGGAATTTAACCTTAAAAACAAAGTTATTTCAATATACACAAAATGAATGAGATGTTTCCTGGTGGGGGAGGTATCTTCGTTCAATCATAAATCGTTACCTCAATGTTATCGTTATTGCAAATATTTTTCGTCAATTAATAACTTCGTTAAACAAAAAACAAAATACTCTTGAATATTGCAAATCTAATTAAGGGTCGATCTCATCAGAAAATACCTGTATATATTGTTGATTATCAGCATATTCAGATGACCAAGCACCCGTAGTGCGTTTGGTATCATTTCTTTCATTATATAGCCTGCTGTTTTCTTCACCATGGTCGGGATGGCCCTCCCTCGTCCATGTAGTAGATGCGGACAACGCCGAATCTTTCACACCATACAATCCCGATACGAGGTAATCTGAACACACTGTTACGTCTGAAAGAGGAAATTTGTGGGTCCTTTTATACTTATCTGTAACGCCAGGGAGTGTTTTGTCTGTGAAGAGACAACTGTGAGCCAAAGGGGACAATACGTGATTACTTCATACAGTAGGTTGTGTATTGTCTAAAACGAGGCATATAAACAAAATGTAAATAAAGTATCCAGTTGGGTGCTGGTGGTTATTTTGAAAGGAGACAAATAACGAGTCAGGATATATAGTATTGTTTATTTGATGTCAGATCTTTGTATAATAAGAAGACAAATCTGCAAGTCAAGGCAGACAACTTTAGATGTCACTCTGAAACTTAAAAAGAAACACAAGTCAGGGTTCAGCGTTAACACTTTAGTTATCACTTAATTCTTTGTAAACAAGAAACCGATGCTACATTTCTCTGAGGGCACATTTTCTTTTATAATGAATTATAACTAAAGTATTGAGATTGTTGTCTCAAGCAGTCGCAAAAACAGAAACAAGTTTAACTGTTTGCTAAAATACATACTAAAAAATGTCCAGTATGGGACAGGTTTCGTTATAAAATATTGAAGGAATGTGTCAAATGTGTTGTAAAAGTTGCTTCCAGTCTCAAAACAGTGGATTCAAAAGTGGAATTAACTAGTTTTTTCATTTATAATACCGTCAATAATTGAAAAATACAAAATGACAAAAAAAAACCTGTTTGAATATACCGTAGACTTGCTTGTCTGCCATAATTGAGAGGAAAGCAGTTTTTAGATACTGCAATTTCGGGCCTTATTGCCCTTTCAACTAAACCGTATGGTGAGCCGATTAACCTTTTATTCCATTCGAGTGACCTGACCATAATGAATAGCTGATATAACTTAATCCTTGATGTGAAAATTGGTGATAAAACAATAATAATTATCGCAATCGAAATCGTTATTACTGTATAAACATATTCGTTTAGACCAATAACTCGGAAAATACCAGGGCTATTCTTACATAAAGAGTTGTAAATCCGCAAGTCCTTGAGATTTGTAATGCAATAATCGTCGCATTTGTCTAGGCAACGCTGCTCAATTAAAATGGTACTTTGAGATGGTTCCATCAAGGTTTACACCCAAAGCAAAGCGCACAGAAGATTCGATCATGCCATTTTGTGATTTTTTAAGGCTAACAGGTCCAGTGCACATACTATTAATATATTCAGACCTCAGCATATGATTGTTTTCCTCATTATGTGATATTTGCCTGTCATGTGGCGAGACTTTTTAAAGTAAAACAATTCGTCCACTATTTACTACAACAAGATAAATAAACAATTTATTAATAACGACGGATCACTCTTTATCACAGGGCATAGTTTATACCTAAATAAGCTATTACTAGCTATTATTATACATACTATTAAATGAACTCTAACTGTTGATCATGTCTGACACCAAAAGTAGACGATCTGTTTCACTTTTTCGTAATGTCACAGCAATTGTTAAAAAGTGAACACTAACAATTAAAGTAATGACAAAGACATTCTGTGCCGAAAACAAAGGTGGGATACCAAGCCAAATAGCCGTACTGATACCCTATACCTTGCTCTTTACCTCACTCCCTGTTGTAGGCTACACTAAGGTATCTAACTGACCCGTGAACTACTGCACTAGTTACTACTAAAGTCTATTTAGCAGTTTTACCGATTGTTACAACTGTTAAAAATACTAAAAGCTTCCTTCATTTTCCACACTTGGACCAAACTCGTTCCGATGTGTACCTATTTCATAATTGCACAGATTTCCACAACTTAACGCATTTCATAACATATGTGCAATTTCGATTATCATGACTGTGTAAGCCACTCATCTACACCAAAAGCAGAAAATGGAGACATTAAAACAAGAAACTTGTAACTGCAACACTATTCTGAGTACTCTGAAAAAATTGGTTCAATTAAACTTTGAAGGGCTGATATTTTCTCTTCTGTTTACCGGGATTTATATTGGACGATTTAAAGAATTCAGGGTGTAAAACCAACTACTAAAACTTAAAATAAGAAAATAAAAAACAGCATACTCAAAATCGCACGGTCTTCTAGTCTCTCAACACGTTTAGTTAGGGCCTTGATTTCATCCGTCAGCTCAGACAGGTGGCGTGAATACCTTCGGTCATCGTTACACAGTTCCGTCAGAAGTGGCCTGATAACAGCAGAAACATATGTTATTTGAACATTTTCAAAAGTTTATATACCAATTATGTGCTTATTTAATATCGAATTCAAGACAATATCTGTTATACCAATTGAAATTGATTTCTTAAATTTTGTTTTAATTAGCAATTATCGACTTTTATTGAGGTGAATATTGGATTGTATGAGTTCGAAAAAGTAATACTGAACTAGACGACTTCATCATGATTTATGTTGTACTTTAATCATTATATAAGATCAAACGTAAGAAAATTATTAAACAAAAATAACTGTACCAGCGAGCATTATGTTCATTTATGACGTTATAAAGAAAATATCAATATTGATTATTTTTTTTAATTTAACAAATGCCTGACCTCCTAAGGATACATGTAACATCCACATAATGAAGATGATTAGAAACTCCTTATTTGGCCATTTTCACTCATCAACATTTTTTACATGTAATATAACATATTAACGAGGTTATTAATTACTACGATACTAAAAATATTCTCCTTAAATTATGTAAATGAAATGATATCCAACCCAATGAATAAGTTGGAGAGTGACGAAATTTCAAAACTATTCATTCGATCTATTAATACAGCTCTGAAAATTATCCAGGATATTACAAACGTGGTACATGTAACGATATCGACACAATTAAGAAATTAAATGCCTTGACGACTTTTGCAAAAGGAAGAAGTTATTTGAAGTAACAACGTAGAATTTAAAAAGACTTTTACCTGATTTGGTTTAGTATCCTCTGTTCCATGAGAGCTGATTCTACTGTCTGACGACGGTCAGATGACAAAGGTTGTCCACTAGATAATCTGTTAAACGTGAGAGTTAGTAGAAAGACGCATAGGAAACTTATATCATTCATATTGTGTATGTTCTTGTCTTCAGCAAGGCCCGGTACCTGATGTGTTATGAAATGCAGTGACTACGTCGACTGTATTGTACATGGAGGACGTCGTGATATATATGCGGCAGACTGTATCGCACACTTAAGTAGTACATGTAATGATGAGTGATACTATCACGGACCTAACACGTCCACTTCCATGGCCTTTGCTGAGGTTATCGCAAGTATACACTTTCGTGTAGGGCTGGCTACCATGATGTATGTGCAGAAATATTCAGAATGCTATTTTTTCTCGAAGATTGAGTTTTTCAAAACATACTCGTATTGCAAATAAATATCATGATGAAAGTTAACATTTTAACGTTTTTAATGTGTTTAATTTCAGTGGGTGAACTCCTTGTATTAAATATGGTGCTGACATAAGGATGGAGATCATTGAATCCCTGATGAAAAGCTGAAATCGAAAGCTTGAACATAGTTGACTGTTGATATGTATTTAGTTCTGTTCTGTTTAGAACATATCATATATATTAACAAAGATATTTATTGTAGTTTATACATGTTTATATATATATCGTTGTAATGTGTACAAATAGGTTTGTCAAACAACAGTACAAAAATAAGATTTATTCATCGTTGTATCGGAAACTCCCTTGTCATCTGCTTCCTTTTTTTCAAGTAAAAATGTACGAAAGGAGATTTGTCGTGATTTTGGAGTCAAACTAAAGAAAATACAATGATGAAACTCCCTTATCATCTGATTCATTTTATTTAAACCAAGCCTTGAGATTAAGAGACACCAATACGTTTTTACGCCTTGTGATAGAGCGAAACTGTCGCCGACTTTATAGTGTTCCCTCACGCTACTTGTAGTCCAAACGAGTCGCTAAAGGCAAGTATTTTATTCCAACAAAACAGCGTTCGATAGCAACACAATTACCGTGTGCTTTCGTTGGTTGATCTTATGGTACATTTACCAAAAGTACCAAACTTTGAACTCAAAATCAATAATACTAGGGCAAAATATAAACAAGTGAAAGATTGACACGAATACACTCGAAAAGGTACAAGAACAATAAGGCCATGTGTTCCGGAAGGATAAGCGTGGTCTGCTTCATCGCTGACACCCCAAATGTAAATCGAATGTAAGTCGATTCCAAGTAATATAAAGACGTAAAAACGGTATTTGTTTTAACCTGCTAAACGTTCAGCATTTCGGGTAATTGTACTTTTCATTTTAATGTAACCTAAATGAATAGCATACTTGGCATGGTATTTTAGTGCAATAGCACTATCGCAAAGAAGGCAAATACACCAACATACCGTCTCAAGCACACATGCATACCTACATACAAACATTACACACATGGAGGAGCGTACTTCAATGACCTTAACTGTTGATAGGACGTTAAACCACCCGGACCTAGAACCAAACTAATACGTTTGTGTAACATTGCCTTATATGTTAATAGAAACATTTGTGACGCATCTGAGTGTATACGTACATGAACACTGATAAATACAGTCCATGTGTAGGGGATAAGGTTGTGCAGTAAATTTATTTATAGTCTGTTTGTAAGAAAAACACGTGTTTGTTTAATAATCAGCACCTAATGTTTACCATGTGCATTTTGAGAAACACGAAAAGACGCTGTTTGCCTGAAATATAGTGTTATTTTATTCTTGTACCATCAACATGTTTGTAGCATGTGGATTATTAACGTAATATTACATGTAGAAACATAATATGAAATATTGAATATTAATTATAAGCAGTTCTTCGCCCGAAGATTGATATAAATCATGTTTTTGGGTTCCTTGGTTAAACATGTCAAAAGAGCTTAAACATGGCTTTTACATGTTTCTAGAAGATAGGGATTTGCGGGTAAAATGACATTGAGCAGGAGCAAATGAGTCTGACATTTTCTGTTGTTTTTTTATCATAAAAAATTATCTTAATAATATCTTGAATATATTTGATATTTAATCAGTTAGTTGTCTTGTTAGATATGCAATTTGTGTACATTGCAGCGTTTTTCAAAACAAGAAACCTGTTGTTATTCATCAAATTTAAAAGGTCTTACAAAGGCGTTAACAAGTGTTCAAACCTGACTGTTTGCACATTTTATGTATATCAACAAATGCTACATCAAATACACGGAAGAAATGATACACGAGGGATATATGGGGAAATATATATTCAAATGTAACATACGGAGTTTATATGTGGCTGTTGATAACTTACCCCATGGTACATATTAAGTAACAGGATCTAAATGTTGTCAAGTGCAAACATGATAAAAATAGTGCTTTTCAAGGGCTTTTGTACTTGAGAGGCGTTTACTTGCTTGATATACGGAGTGAAGTAACACTTTTATATAACTCATTGTTAAGATGCACAGTCACCCCACCACACCACTATTTCATCCACTCAAGCAAAACAAACCTTATGCGCCGGGAAAGTACAAAAATACAACAAAATGGGAAAGTTGCTTATACAATCAATTACATTCGTTTAAATTATCAGGATCCTTTGGGCAAAATGTTCAGTAAAAAAAACTTTGATTAGTAACACGGCAATTAATGGGGTTTCATAAGTTGTCCTGGTATCTTCATAGTTACTACTGTTTTTTTCATCTTTTTTTCATGTTTGTTGACACTTACCCTTCCGGAACACCTGGTCTAATGATCCTTAACATTTTTCAAGTTTTGTTGATTTTGAGTTTTGGTTTAGTTGACACATAAGCATTCTCTTTTTATACATGTTCATTTCCTTTGAAAATTTTGACTAAACACAAATCACTTGCGCTTTCTTATACTGACAGTGACAAAAAATAATGGTCTACTATGACGGTTATAAGTTTATATGGTTTGTCGAAAGTTGTACATTGTGTATGATACCAAAGAAACATGAGAAATTCTTTCGGTTTGATTGGTTTGGTTTCCCTTCAACAGGGTTTAACTTCCTATCAACAGCTAAGATCACTACAGACGTGTCTCCATGTGTGTAATGTATTCAGAAGACAGGGTATGTTGGTGTAGATACCTCCTTGTGATATCCGGGTTCTAATGCCAGCTTTAAAATGCTACCTTAGTAAAATCCCAAGCTGAAGGCATCAAGCACAGAATTCATTCCGCCTTGTATACTTACAACTGGTGAACCTTTTGTTGTTACTACCCTTCATGCTGCACGCTAAGCAGGGAATAACAACTGCCACTTTTAAGGACTTTGGTATGTTCAAGCATTGGGCGAACGTTCAACATGAAAGCCAAACGTGAGGTATTGCCAAACAAGGCGCTAGGAAATAAAAGGTAGGACTGCAGCAGTAACGAGAAATACAGATATCGCAAATATCGCATAGGGTGCAGCAGGTCGACTGTATTATGGTGCGGCTATGCCTATATTCATTATCATTTCAAGTCAACATGAACAAATATTGTAACATACTGTTTTAACTAAACTTGCCTTCTTTGCAGAATATGAAAGTTCCTAAGCAATAATATGTACACAAATCCAGGGGAGACAGATTATCATTTTTTGTTATTTAGTAGAGTAACTAGATCATTAAAACATCGGCTTCACATGATTCTGTCAGCAATGCAACAGGTAAAATATTTGAATTTTTTCTCGCTTGTAAACACCGCGGACATGAACAAGGCTACTCCTTGTACAGTCGAACCTCGTTATCTCGAAGTCGACGGGATCGCTGGAAAACTTCGAGTTATCCGAGTGTTCGAGTTAAGCGAGTTCATGTGTTTGGCATAAAGCTTGGTAAAGTGTTCGGTCAAATATGAGGCTATCAATACGTTGACTGTCGGAAAAATCAACAACTTATATAAACAGTCGATAAATGACAAAAAGATAACTATATAAAATAAGAGTAACAATTTATTCATAATCATATTAATGAATTGATACAACTCAATGTTACAATAAACACATACAAACAGGAAGAACGTTTACTGTAAAACTTACATGCTGTCTCCGACCTCGCTATGCTGATAGCGGAAATGAAAGTGCGCAAGTCTTTACACAAATCACGGTATTGGAGCGTACACGTAAATGATGTTTTTAATGAGTACACGCGAAAACAATACACATCGTAAATAAACACATTAAAGCACTAATAAAACACATTTACATTTAAGCACCGATAACAAGTCACGGAGCACTAACGACATATAGCTACTACTAGGTTTTCACCCTTTCAACTGATCCAAGTATCCCCCGGTGGAGCCGGGTCCTTCGTTGGATTGCTCAGTTGATTTCGACATTCCGAAATGGGTATGAGTTAATCAGGAAACATATCAACATTTATAGACCCCAATGACACTTGACATCTCCTCAACACGACGTACTCAATAATAATTATCGTATTGTTACTATAATCCCTCAATTAATTATCAGTGTCACTGCCATACAAGCTCCTGTAAAAACATAAATCGACGAACCAGTCCTAGGTTGTGATTTTTACTGTGGAGCTTATTTACGCATGACCGCACACAGTGACCCATTTACCGGTTAGAATGTGTCGGCTGCTTTGGTGTAAATAATATGCCATTCAAATTGTTTACGGGCTCGCAGTGAGTACTAATTGTTGTTAATCTACATTGATGAAGTCTGTTTCTTTATTTGAACAAAGTGTTTTTACAGTCAAACACATTTTAATACAATAAGTTTAATCGAAGTAATTATGACCGAGCGTAAGCTGTTCTATGAGAACGATGTTTACCGTAGGACTGCGTCTAATATGTATCAAATAATTAAAGAACATATGATCGACTTGTGAATCTTAAGAAACTTTGAGGTAAGCGATATTTTTATGTAGGATTTACGTTGTTGGGACCGATATTTCACTTCGAGATATCCGAGTTATTCGAGTTTTCAGAGTTCGAACTAGCAGAGTTTTTATTACTAAGATTAAGAAGAGTTTTGGCCGGGACCGATGAGACACTTCGAGTTAAACGAGGTCTTCGAGTTAAACGAGTTCGAGATAACGAGGTTCGACTGTATATGAAGCAGTTCACTACTCATCATAATTGATAACATACCAAAATAATCATAAACATAACACAACACAACGCTGTGCTTTCATCGCCAGTAACGGGCGGGGCGGTGGGTGGGGTGGTGGGGTGGCATAATGAAATATTTTGAAGGTAGCAGCCAGCGGCAATGCATACAATATACGCCATTTTCGTAGGTGTTAGGAGATACACAATTTATCACAAGACCACCGGAAGCACACCATATTTCGGTCTCTTTGAATTTCTTTTTCATTGGAATGAAATATTTGGCTTTAGCGACTTTCTTGGCAATACCTCACTTCAGTGCTGGGCGCCATCGGAATGGCATTTAAGTGAGGCATCACTCTAAAGTCGGCGTCAGATACGTTCTAATCACATAAATATACCAACATTCTTTGCCTCCGGCACACAAACACATTCACGGAAGCATTAGACACATGGAGGCAAGTCCTGTTATGACCCCAGCTGTTAAAAGGACGTCACACATAAAAAACTAAATCAAGCCCTTTATATTTCTTTTTTTTCTGTTCTAACATACTAGTAACACATATCATGTTTGTAAAATAATTTGATAAGGTTAAAATCCTTCACCCGTTTTACTTACAATACGCTGCGGTGTAGATCAACAAACCTCACAGTCTACACTGTTTTAGCTCTAGCCAATGAGATTGAGTCCTTACACTTCCTGGTATCAGAACACAATGGTGTTGTATGAGTAACCGAGAATGCATGAACAAAGTTCAGAACATGAAACCGCATGTGTTAATGTCCAGTCCTACCCTGTAGTGTGTTATAGATATAAGTCGTAAAGGATTGAAAATATTGAAATACTTTGTTAGAACTTAATAATCAGGGATTGAATAATCTCATCCTTGTGTGACATAAGGGATTATAATTGGGTCACTCTGTGTGTTGCATTGATGTATGAAGTTATAGGCAGTACATTCATTGAAAGTGTAATTTGTTGTTATGTAAGTTTGTTCATAAAGTGTGATATAATCTTCCGGGTACATGTCCCGACGTCCTCCATGTACAATACAGTCGACATCGCCAATGCATTTGATCGAACATCGGGTACTGAAGACAACAACATACGCAGTATGAACACTATAAGTGTGCGATACAGTCTGCCGTATATATATCACGACGTCCTCCATGTACAATACAGTCGACGTAGTCACTGCATTTCATAACACATCAGGTACCGGGCCTTGCTGAAGACAAGAACATACACAATATGAATAATATAAGTTTCCTATGCGTCTTTCTACTAACCAGCACGTTTAACAGATTTTCTAGTGGACAGCCTCTGTCATCTGACCGTCGTCAGACAGTAGAATCAGCTCTCATGGAACAGGGGATACTAGAACAAATCAGGTAAAATTCTTTTTAAATTCAGCGTTGTTTGTTACTTCAAATAACTATTTCGTCTTGCAAAAGTCGTCAAGACATTTAATTTCTAGATTGCGTCAATATCGTAACATGTGCCTCTTTTGCAATATCCTGTTTAATCGTCAGAGCTTTATTAATTTCGTAACTCTCCACGTTATTCATTGGTAAGGATATCATTTTATCTCCAGTGATATATTTTATACAAAAAAATGCATTAAATTCTTTTACGATTGAAGTGGCGCATGAACTCTTCATTTAATATGATTGTGAAAAAATGTAAGCTTTGAGAGAAGAAGAAAAGTTGAGTTGAGGTCAGAGTTGTCGGTGGTTCTAGTCGTGTTAGCTGCAGCTGTACGTATCAGTGAATGTCTGCGGAGAGTCTGTAGTTTATTTGCTTAAGATTAGGCGTGCAATTTGGATGTAGAGACATCTTACTTGGTTCTGGAGATCTTATTAAGTTATCAATAAAAGCACGGACCGTTAGGGAGAAATGTTAATTGAGAATGGCCAGTGTTATGAGAACAAACGGTGTTGTGTGTGTTACAGTGGAAATAGGACAGGTTGTGTGTGTCGGATAGAGTTCAGTTTAGTCTTTTGAGGTGCACGAGAGAGGATGTAACTATTGGGAAGATATGTTGAGTATCGTAGCAATTTATGACCTCATGTATATAATGTCGATGAGTTAAAATGGTAACATTGACAATTTCCAATCATCATTATTGTTTGGATTTCAATCTTGAGGAGGTCAGATTTTGTTCAGTTAAAAAAGTCAATATTTTTATTTTCTTTATAACGTTATTTCAATGATAACGTCATACGTGTTATACTCGCTGCCTATACAGTACTTTTTGTTTGATAATTTTCTTACGTTTAATCTTACATAATGATGACTCATGATGACGTCATCTAGTTCAATATTGCTTTTTCAAGCCCATATAATCCCATACTCACCTCATTGAAAAATCTGCATTATTTCAATTTGTATTACAAATATTGTCTTAAATTATATATTAAATTAGCGCACTATTGGTATATTTAAGCAATGAATGTTTTATCAAATGTTGTTATGGTCCTATAACCCACATTGCTATTGATGACAAAATAAAAATATATTTGCTTAAATATTCATTATTTATATTTACATTTTGAAAGAGTAGTTATGCTTTATTTCATTATTTTGAACAGTTCTTTGAACAGCCAATTAGGTTTTGAGAACAATTAAATTGATGACGTCAGAATAGACATTGATGACGTTACAAAAGCAAATGTTGTTTAAGTCTCATGACAATGGAAGGATGCAAAGCAAATGTAAATACAAACATTTGAATATGTTCACAAAACATATGTTTCTGCTATTATCAGGCCACTTCTGACGGAACTGTGTAACGATGACCGAAGGTATTCACGCCACCTGTCTGAACTGACGGATGAAATCAAGGCCCTTACTAAACGTGTTGAGAGCTTAGAAGACTGTGCGGCTTTGTTGAGTATGCTGGTTGTTTGTTTTTAGTTTTAGGTCTTGGTTTTACACCGTGAATATCTTAAAATCATCCAAAATAAATTCCGGTAAATAGTAGAGAAAATATCAGCCCTTCTAAGTTTTATTGAACGAATTGCTTAAAGCACTCAGAATAGTGTTGAAGTTACAAGTATCTTGATTTAATGTTTCCATTTTCTACTTCTGGTGTAGCGGATTGGCTTACGCAGTTATGCCAATCGAAATTGCACTTTTGTTTTGAAATACGTTATGTTGATGAAATCAATGCAACTATGAACAAGTTGCTCCCTTGAAAAATATTAAGCAATCATGAACCCTAAATTGTTTTATATAAATTAGGGTTGTCAACGGTCAACCGGTCACTCGGTTACTCGGTCGGAAGACCACGAACTGGTTACCAAAATGTATAACCGAATAGTCGGTCATTTACCTACACCTTTGAGGCCCCATATTTTCCTTGCTTAGACCTACAAATTTTCAATAGATGCGACCAGAATCGGATAGTGTTGTATTAAACATCCTGTTTAGGGATTACATGTTGGCTTTAATTATGTACTCTATTGTAAATACTGACAAATATATACTGCCAACACCATAACAAATCTGAACAGATTTTAAAATAAAACCAGAATACAATGTTGTGAAATATAAACTTTAAGAAATAGAACGTGCTTTAACATGCGAAATGGAAATATAATCTGAAGTGTTCACACCTGAATGTACAATATTACCGCATATGATTTCGAGTACAGCTAACTGTAATTGAATCCGTCTTACTGCATTCCGACATTTGTTGTCCATGACATTCACTTATTGAGGTTACATGCAACCTTTTCCAGCGTTAAGCTTGAAATACGAGAGCTAACTATCATATTTATCAATATATACATGTATGTTTGTGGTGTAAACACGTTAAAGATACACATATAATGTGTTTGTTGCTGTTTATTATTTGATTAACAAATTGACCGATTAACTGGTTACTCGATCGGAAGATTGTTCGACTAACCAGTTACCAAAATTTGACCGGGTTGACAACCCTAATATAAAGATTTCTTTTACGAAAGAGAAATTGTTTTAAATTTAAAAAACACATTACATAAATATCAGGGTCAATGATTGCTTGGATATGTAGGAGTCATGTAAACTGTAAGAAAAACACCAATACAAATGCCAAAACTATTTGTTTTATTGCATATAACTTTAACTTAACTATCATGTCTGACCCCATACGAAACACTTATCTAATCGGGTATCGAGTAGGATGCAAACAATTAACCGAGAAGATAGTACAGGTATATATATACAGCGGTTCTAAAAATAGTGTCCGCAGCTTGGTGTGTTTCGCTGATACACAGCGCACACATTGATAAAAGGTATGTGTACCGGAACACTCCCGCCATAAGGCATGTCGTCATATTCAGAGCCGTTCTCTGAACATGAGGGATACGGGAGAGATAGTGTAGTTCTATCGGAGTTTAAACACAGTATTGCATCAGATTAGCGCTAAAATTCTCTGTCTCTACCAACAATCACATCTTTATGTTGCTGATAAAACGTTGTTGTTGACAAATGTGTTTTTTGGGCAGCGTTGATAAAATCAGGCTGAACACACAGATGGTAGACATTGTGTTAAGGATTTTAAATGTAGTAAATGTGAACAGATTTTTAAAACTCTTAATAAAAACACACTTATTCTATATTGAGTTTACATTGCTATTAATGAAACAAATGCTATGATCATCAATAGATAAAACTAGACCTGACACACAGAGATGTGAATATTATTGACAACTTTCAAATGTAGTAAATTAAACAAATTTTGAGCATTTTAAAATACATAACACATCATAAATTGATATTCAGTTGGTATTGCTATTAATGATGAAACTTGACTTCTGGGTTGAGCAGCAGCTTGGCAAAATAAGGTCACTGTTACCTACTTTTCTATATATTGTGATTCAGATACACAATGTCAAGAGGTTCTTTGACAAGTAAGGACCACATTATTTTCTTCAGAATTAAGAATTGATAAACTTCCAGAGTGTAGGGTGGCTTGGGTCGTTATCGAACGTGACTCAAAGACGCTTCCACATCAAACGAAAATAGATGCTAACTGTTGTTTACTTTAGTTAACAATTATTTGAACTTTACTGTATCATTTCTAAGGATATACACTGTATATACTTTGCATTTTATGTACACTTTTCTCATCCCCGACAAATTTCTCACTCAAATCATTATGTAATATTATGTATCGGTTAGCTTGTTAGAAATAATACAATTATCAAATGCATAGATATGACCTGGACCTTTGACCTACATCCGGATCAATTGTTGTCTGAAACATGTCCTGTAATGGTCACATGTCTTGTTTATTTTTCATTTTTTCTGCGTTTTTGAAATGAAAAAAAAGTTAAATCCACTTTTGCATCCATTATTTTGAGATTGGAAGCATTTTTTACAACACATTTCACACATTCTTTCAATATTTTATGACAAAACCTGTCCCATAATGCACACTTTTAAGTATGTGTTTTAGCAAACAGTTCAACTTGTTTCTATTATTGTGACTGCTTGAGATAAAAATCTGAAGTAATAATTCATTAGAAAATATGCACTCTGAGAAACGTGGCATTTGGTCTCTTGTTCACGAAGTGCGTTAGTGATAACTAAAGTGTTAACGCTGAACCCTGACTTGTGATTTTTAAGTATTTCTTCTTAATTTTCAGAGTGACAGCTGAAGGTGTCTGCCTTGACTTGCAGAGTTGTCCTCTTATTATACAAAAAGCTGACATATAATAAACAATCCTATATATCACGACTCGTAATTTGTCTCCTTTCATAACAGCCACCAGCACCCAATGGGATACTTTACTTACATGTAGTATGTGCCTTTTTTTTAGACCATACACAACCTACTGTTTGAAGTAATCATGTCTTGTCCTCTTTGACCAACCGCTGTCTCTTAACAGACAAAACACTTCCTAGCGTTTCAACAAATTTTATTGACAAAGTTGTTACAAGACAATTGGGTGGAATAACAGGCAAAGTCTTTATAACTTCTCTCCAAAGGTGGCTTTGGTAATGAGTTATGTAATTTTGGATTTGATTTACATTTATGCATCAATTTTGAAATGAGAATTAGAAACATAAACGTTAAAGGGATGTAACTCATTCTTAATTAACAAAATTGAAATACAAGTACATTCACACTTCTCACATCACACATTAAATATTTTAACAGCTATTATCTATTTTTTCCTAACATCTTATATATGCTAACAAGTCACACAGTTATTGTCATACATTGACCAAAAGTCCATGTGCTAATATATGCACAGGTCACAGTTGCCAAAACTGTTAAGTTATTGTAATTTCAAATGTAAACAAATACCTATTTTTTATTTTTATCTTTATTTATTTTTTTGTCTTCAAAGATACATCATGTAAAATATCATATGAGTATACATAGATCATGTAAACATATCCTCTCACAGGTGTCACATCTTTGATTTTTTTCTCTTGCTTGGGATGAGTTCTGGAGTTCAGTATCTGAGAAGTTTTTTTTTTAACCAAACACTACTTATAACTAAACGTCACATACTGTATACATTTACATCACACCACAAAGACATAAACTATTACAAGGCAATATATATATCCATATATATTCTGACTTAATAATAATTATATCTACATTTCTATTTAAGTGAACTTCAATTGAACTAAGTATAAAAATTGTATAGATATATATTGTATATAAGTTAGCTATTTTTTTAATATCAGGATATGAAATGTGTATAATCATGTATACATAGTATAAAAGTAAATCCATTTAAAATAAAATTGTGTATTATATGTAGGTGTTTTTATTGTAACACTCCTTTACTCTTTATATATGTTTTCAATTGTATTTCATGCATAAACATATATGGATACATATAGAGTCCTATAATCTATAAACAATCTGCTATACAAATGTAGGGGAGGCTTTACTACCTAAGAAAGTAAGAAATCTTATTTTAAAAAAGTTACATATTTATGTCATATGGATAGGTTGTAATTTATTAATGTTGTTGTTTTTATGTAAATACATTTTCCCACTCTTCCTATATTTGAAAAAAACTTAATTTGTTTAGATACCTATTTTATATGTTATTCAATGTATAAGATGGACACTAAAACAAGACAAATAAAACACAACCTAGCGTCACGAGTAAGTATAAAAGGACCCACTAATTTTCTCCTTCAGACATAACGGTGTGCTCAGATTACCTCGTATCGGGACTGTATGGTGTGAAAGATTCGGCGTATCACGTGTCTACCACATGGACGACTACTAGTTATTACCATGGTCCTATAAACAGCAGGCTATATAATGAAAATAGTGATACCAAACGCACTACTGGTGCTTGGTCATCTCAATATAATAATAATCAACAATTCATACAGGTATTTACTGATGAGTACAAGCCTTAAATGAGATATTTGCAATATGCAAGAGTATTTTGCTCTTTGTTTAATCTCAATTGCTCTTAGGTGCACAACGTTTCTGATTATTGAAATAACGAAAACATTAAAGTAATGATTTATGATTGTACGAACATTAACAACCCACTCCCAAATATTTGTGCGAGATGAACTTTCATTCATTTTACGTATATTGAAATTATTTTGTCTTTTAGGTTAAATTCCCGAGAGAAACTGAAGTAGAAACGATCTTGTTGCGAGGTCGAAATGAAATCTATAACCAGTGGGTGAAAACCTTTCATCTTTTGTACAGCATTAATGGTACCAATTGGACTACAGTGATGTCGGACGACCACCAACCTACGGTAGGTTTTATCATAGAATAAGGAAGTTGATATTATGTCATATGACGACGATATCAAAAGCAATATCAATTTTAACCTTTTCCGTCATCTCAAATTAATTATACGGACACATAAATCCGATAATTGAAGAAGTTATATGTGTGACGTAATATTATGTAAACTTTCACATCCCATTCAGCAGGGCATTTTTGAATTACATTATATACAATGTTATTGTCCAAGTCTCTAAGATAGACTATAGCCTTTTACATATAAACTTTATTCGTTTTATAACAATTGTGAAACAAGTTATTATATCAATCACTCTAGTTGACCCTTTGAACGGAAAGTGTGATATCCATTGCGCCATCCGACCACCCAAACTAATGCTGTTTTAACTGACATTTCATAGCACGGTTTGCAGAAAAGATTTGTTTGAGAATGATTTTCCATTTATAAAGAGAGACACTTTTTCCTTCCTCATTAAGTATTTATTTTGTCGATATAGAAAGTATGACTCTTCATTAAATTTCTTTTAAATATGTCAACTTAACAAACAGCCTGACGTTCTGACTGTATTTTGTCAGTTATTTACCGGTAACAATGACACAACTACCATAGTTAAGGCTAGCGTGGTCCCAAGTATCACTGCAGTGTACTTCCGGATTAATCCAATGAGTTGGAACAATTGGGTATCTCTCCGTTTTGACGTCAGTGGCTGTTACACCGTTAGGGAAACACGCAAACGTAAGAAACTTAATCAATGTTTTGAAATATATTGTATTAATAATAACCTGAATAATCTGAATTCCAGCTGCAAATACATGTCAAAATCTTGAATCAAAATTAGATAATACATGTTTCATATTCAAGCACTTATAGACAGGGAATCGTTAATTTACCACATTCGTTTGTATACGTCAGAGTCGCCTACCCTTGGCTTGACTTCCTGTTGATGTTGAAGTAAAGTTCCAATCTGGTTCTACATATTATCAGAGATTTTTAGTTGTTATTAAGATGTTGTTTCCGAAGTATTCCGGATATTTATATCTGTATCGATTTGTGAAAAAAAAAATCGTATTAGGGCTCATGTTTATGATTATAATTCATCTGAAGAATGACCATTATATGAACTGTTTATTTATTTGAAGACATACACAAAGCTTTAGGATTCAAACCTGTCCCGAACGAAGACACACTGTACAAGGTGAACGAACGTGAACATAACCAGTTGGACGCTGTCAGGCTCTGTACCCAACAGTATTCACAGCTCATCAAGATAGATTCCTTGTCATTGATGGCGAGTCTCCAGGCAGTCGTGGAGGGAAATGATATACTAAGTAAGGCAATGAAGAAAAAACTTGACATCGGAAAAGGGCTAGCTATAGCAGAATATGTCTCTAATTCAATGACGTCATCTTTTTAACTAAAATATTTCATCTCTACAGAAATTTGTTTGGATAAGTCATGAACGTGTGGTCAGGTGACATTCATGAGGTTTAGTTTCGATATCAAATCAAGTGAATATCTTGCAATTATCACCGTATCAACATTACGTTAAACACGACTTTATGTCCGTACGTTACGAAATAAATGATATTAGCAACCAGATTTTTTTCTTTATAAAGTAAACGTGGAATAAGAAATCATCTTTCTTTTATGACAAATAAAGCCTACAGATGTTCCTTATAATCTTTACAAGGTTGTCGGACCAATGCCATTAAAAATGGTGTGATTTTTTATAAGTCAAAGGCAATATTAGGATGAAGTTTTATTTTTATAAATAAAAATATTATTTTCAGGGAACGCCCACAATCAAATGTACGTATCCGGGAAGTATGTGGCTAATACGTGGCAGTACAGTGATGACTTCGAGGTGATTTACAGCCCCCTCTGGTCTCCGGGCAACCCTGACCCCACTCAGGGGCATTGCGTCATGTTGACATTAGCAGGCCTGGCAAGTGTGAATTGTTCACAAACTTTCTTTTCCGTGTGTGGACACATTTAAAGTAACTTATTTTTGTCTGTACGCTAGTGAGACTTGTTGACAAATGGCTGACAAGAGAAAAAACTGTGCCAAGAGACAGTTTTTTTTGCTTTGATCTGTCTTCCGAACAGGCTTATATTCCAAAAATGATACATGAAATGGATAGCTTGCACTGCAATACATCTACAAACCAAAATTAAACAAAATCATACAATGTTTTGAGGTCAGCTTGCTCCCACTTACATGGTAACTGTGATAGAGTTCGCAACTCCACAATACCAAAGTGGCAAAATCTCAACTGGTCCCTTTTTGACAAAACTAAATAATATTTCTTGAAACTTGCTTCATAATTTGGATGTTTTGAGTGACACTGAAGCTGCACGCGACAGAAATGGATGAAAGAATAGCATATTGTTGATGAGTACGCCACTATGGCCTTGTTATATATCGGCTTCATTATGTCATCAATTCTCTTTTTGTGTACATATGATACATACTAGAACCCTATAATAATCTTACATTTGTATGTTATAAATATTTGGGGTTGAATTGATTAGGGGTGTGTTGAGTTTTTTCTTCATAATTAAGAGGCTGATTCTTTGTTAATTGTATTGTTCAATGTATGATATATAGTATATACTTGCTTTAGTTATTTCTTTGGGGTTTGGAAGTAAGGATATTTTAGATTGCCTTATGAAAGAAGGCATTTTATTATATGGCTAGGTATATGAATGGAGGTTCTACCAGTTGAAAAGCGCGCTCTTACTCCGGCTGTCAAAGTGGAGAAAACACCTCTTAAAAGGTAAACAATGATCAAGCTGAATAGGTTCGGGTCTAGCTGCGAAGGCCAGGGTTCCAATGTATTCCTCTATAGTTCATTGCCAAAATAAATTGGGCAGTAAACGTACTGATGATAGATACAGAGTGATAGGTACCAATACACAGATTTTACAAAGGCGTCAGAGTTTACCAAGGCATGGGGTCCATAGGGTCTATGGCGACATGGTCAACAAATAGTCGCGGTAAAGGGTGACGTGGTCAAGGTGTGTCGCGGTAAAGGATGACGTGGTCAAGGTGTGACGCGGTAAAGGGTGACGTGGTCAAGGTGTGTCGCGGTAAAGGATGACGTGGTCAAGATGTGACGCGGTAAAGGATGACGTGGTCAAGGTGTGTCGCGGTAAAGGGTGACGTGGTCAAGGTAGTCGCGGTAAAGGGTGACGGGGTAAAGGTGTGTCGCGGTAAAGGGTGACGTGGTCAAGGTATGTCGCGGTAAAGGGTGACGTGGACAATGTGTTTCGCGGTAAAGGGTGACGTGGTCAAGGTGTGTCTCGGTATAGGGTGACGTAGTCAAGATGTGTCTCGGTAAAGGGGGACGTAGTCAAGGTGTGTCTCGGTATAGGGGGACGTAGTCAAGGTGTGTCTCGGTAAAGGGTGACGTAGTCAAGGTGTGTCGCGGTAAAGGGTGACGTGGTCAAGGTGTGTCTCGGTAAAGGGTGACGTAGTCAAGGTGTGTCTCGGTATAGGGTGACGTAGTCAAGGTGTGTCTCGGGATAGGGTGACGTAATCAAGGTGTGTCTCGGTAAAGGGTGACGTAGTCAAGGTGTGTCGCGGTAAAGGGTGACGTGGTCAAGGTGTGTCTCGGTATAGGGTGATGTAGTCAAGGTGTGTCTCGGTATAGGGTGACGTAGTCAAGGTGTGTCGCGGTAAAGGGTTACGTGGTCAAGGTAATCGCGGTAAATGGTGACGTGGTCAAGGTGTGTCGCAGTAAAGGGTGTCGTGGACAATGTGTGTCGCAGTAAAGGGTGACGTGGACAATGTGTGTCGCGGTAAAGGGTGACGTGGTCAAGATGTGACGCGGTAAAGGGTGACGTGGTCAAGATGTGACGCGGTAAATGGTGACGTGGTCAATGTGTGTCGCGGTAAAGGGTGACGTGGTCAAGGTGTATCGCGGTAAAGGGTGACGTGGTCAAGGTAGTCGCGGTAAAGGGTGATGTGGTCAAGGTGTGTCGCGGTAAAGGGTGACGTGGACAATGTGTTTCGGGGTAAAGGGTGACGTGGTCAAGATGTGACGCGGTAAAGGGTGACGTGGTCAAGGTGTGTCGCGGTATAGGGTGTACACAGTCACTGGTGTCGCAGTACCGCACTTTTTACTGTTGATACAGGGTGACGTATATATTGTGATCCAGTGTTTTAGTTGGCGTTTTGACTATTTTAGTGTTGGTGTCGTAGAGTAATAAATGTAAAATATCTAAGATATCTTGATCAAAGATAGAACTTGGTAACGAACAGTAGACATGCATCCGTTGCAATATCTTCTTGAAACAGTTTATTTCATAATTATTATGTTCATAATTATTATGTTTCTGGCACAAAAGCCACACAACAATTACAATAAAATGTATATCTTATTTAATATATGCTACCGACTCTCATATATATATAACCAGAATAAAAAAGGTTTATACAACTCAGTGCACCCTGCAAGATTGCTGTAAAAAACTGTCAGTGTTTTCAGCAAATTCAGATTTATCTATAGAGCAATAGAAAATGAATGAAATAAATGAATGCAAATAAAATATTACATTTTTTTTCGAAAATTCAAACAATCATATTGCTAAAATCTATACATAATATTTATATTGCATGTTTCGGTGCTTTGTCCGTCTTGAACATCCGTTGATATGGAACAAATCAGCAGAAAAAATCCGGGGAGATAATTCTGGTTAGGTAAACATAATGCGATGTTTTACTACCCCCTGTCACACACCTAGTATATTTATTTTGGCAAGATATTTGTAAATTGTAAGTTAAGAAGGCCAAAATTGGCCTCCTTGCTTGTATCATCTATTTGTCTACGTCCATATGCTTACTTCTTATTACTTCATTTTACATGTATCTAAGTTTCGTAAAATTTTGATTTCGGAAAGCAAAATACCGAATTTAATATAATTTTATAAATAAAATAAATCATAAATAAATGCAGGTATATTGTTGAAAAGTATGTTATCATATTTTTCAGAAAAAAACAATTGTAGGTTTGTAATGAATAGCACTGAGTATTTAGCACGTATAAAACATTGTATGCCAAAACAACTCAAAATATACTTAAATTTTTCATTATCATTCTGTTCTGACTTTTCAGATATGTATATTTAGCTAGAAGTTTGATCCGAAGGTCTGCCATATATATTTCTTTTTAATTTGTTATTATGTTTTGAATAAATTTCTGAATAAAATCCTGTTTTTTAAGCCGCTCTTGACGAGAGCCGAGCGGCTTTTAATTCTGTCCAGAGAATGAAATGACGGACCCACTTCCGTTCGGGTGCGTGCGCATAATTCAGTCTTGCATGCTTCCGCTATATAGTTTCGTTATCGTAAATAGAAAGTAGTATCTCCGACACTCACCTGTGGGTTACATAAAGTCTTCTGATACACTTCTTCAAATAATAATCCATACTTTAAATAATTGCTGAAAACAAAATGTGTATCTCCGGTGCATTCTACGAGTGTTATGGTGGTGAAATTCGTGCACTGGGTTTGAGCGTTTTAGCAACTCGGATTGAGGTCTGAGGAGGTTTACGCGTGTGAAACACATAGGATTCGAGAAAGCACATGTGAAGACTGTCAAGGATTGACGCTGTCTGTAGAAGGAAGAAGTAAATATATATACTTATAAACCGTATGAGTGATGAAGTATATCCTTTCTCCAGTTGCACCATTTGTGCCTGATTGTCACAAAAAATAACTCAACAATTTCATCAATTGCAACGGCACGACCACGCCGCGTACTGAGTTTATTACAAAAAAACAACAACATTGCATCCTCAATATACATACTCAATTCAAATTCAGTGTGCATCAACATCAATAGCCTTACTTAGATATACTTATCATAATCGCGTATCAGTTTCGTTAAAGTGATACAAAGAGGAAATATCCTCAAAAATTTAGAAAAATGTGTGAACGTGTCGACGTGGTCGCTCTGAATGACCACCTTACACCTTACACACCCACACGTGCGACTCAAGCACGGACTCTACATGCTCCTCATGCGGCACGCATACGTCAGGAGAAAACAATTTCAGTCTAATTCGTACCTCAAACGAATGAAATTATATTTATTTTGATGTTTCAAACGGACGTAATATGACATATCGTGCTTAACAGTTAGGTTGATAACGGTAATGGCTCTGAGACGAGACGATATGTGAAACGTGTATGCTTATCAAACATTTTTGTTTTTTCTGGTGTATTTATCTATGAAAAATGTAACAATTTAAGAACATAACACAACTGCCGCTGCTGTTTGACAAGAATTCGCGCCGTGTCAAAATATTATCCAATCCGGTGTAAGGGAAATAACTCTTTCGTTGATAAAGTCGAATTTGAGAAATATCATTCAAATATATTCCAAAAACATTTGTGAGATTTTGTATATTCAATGACAGTAAATAAAGTCACTACATATATTAATAATTATTATTGATATGAATAAAAATAAATAAAAATAAAAGGAGTACAATCTTTTCTCCATGCATGTTTTCTCACTACTGTTAATTATCCTTCATTTCACAAGCACAAAATGAACCTATTCTTTATTATTCATTCACCGAATGCCATTATGCACGTAAATGCTCATGTCACATCATCGGAGGATGCTTATTAATGAAAATTACAACAATGCGTCACACTTATAGAGGGTGAAAAAGGAGGAGAGGGAGAATGTTTTTAAGGCATCATTTAAGAGGTGATTGATTTTGGGAATTCCAAAGGCAACATAATCAAATGACCTGGTTTTCAATAAGCAGAACACATATCTGAGGTATTATAGTAGATATTGATGCTCAACGTGTTACTGAAGCAATTAACTTTAAAGTGGTGAGCGGCTTTAATGTCACACTGACATAACTCGAATTTGGTAATGAATTCCCTTATTTTCTAATTAGTCTGAAAACCTGAAAGAAAGAGAAATATGGGTAGTTTATCGTCTTTTACACCAGTGGCATTTCTTAGACCTCAACGTCTTTATATAAAATAGAACCCATCATTTATTCATTGTTTCAAGAGTCTGTACAGGGGCAGGCCAACGGTGGCAAATAAATCTATTTTGGGACGGCAGAAGGAACACGAAAGGTTTGAGGAAGCATATAAGCTGCACTGCAAAGTCATGGATATGATGAAATAAGCAGAACGTCTTGTCAGGTGAATTAAGGTTCCACATGTTTGATGAGATCCATGAGATCGAGACAAATTATTCAGGGTGATTGTCCCAGTTACTTCGTCAAGGTATAAAATAGAGATGAGGTACACATCAACTGTGGTGTGCATGGTTTAGTTCTGGAACAGAGTATCCCTCATTCTCAACAAGTCATCTATCGTGGCGTGTGCATGTGCACATGATGTGATGACGTCACTGCACATCTCCGGTTTAAGCACAATGGAAATACTTGTTATGTTCAGTCAGATAATGTATTTGCTTAAGAAGATCAGGTGTAAAAGATACAAGTAATAAAAATACAAAGGACGGCATAAAAATTACAAAATACGAAATTTA